AAAAAAATTTAATGTAATTGATAAACAATTCATGTTAATATATTACATACTACACTATGTTTTCTCTATATTTATGAATGCAGTTTAAAATGTGCTAGTAACAAATTGTATACATAGGACTTTTATCAGATGCACATTTTGCAACCTGCTTCTTAAAATCATTTTTTAACACATCATATTTCCAGTTTTCAGGCTACATTCCCCAGTCTAGAAGAACTGATACTTGAAAACAATGACAATTTGAAGGAGATACGGAATGGACAATATCGAGGGCCCTATTTACCCAAACTAAAAGTTCTTAAACTCATCTGCCTTGGGGAGCAATCAGCTGTTCCTTCATTTTTCTTTCAGTCACTAGCCAACCTTGAGAGGCTTGTTGTGAGTGAAGCTTCCTTTGATAAAATATTCCATTGTGAAAGTCTTAGTAGTGAGGAAAGACCTGCAGATACATCTACTCAATTAAGGTTGTTAAAGTTATCTAAACTCAATGAACTAAACTCAATGAACTAAGGCACCTTTGGAAGGAAGAATCTGATCTAGTACCAGTTTTCTACAACTTGAGAACTCTAGAAGTGCTTGAGTGCAGCAAATTAATGAGTTTAGTGACATCCATTGTATCTTTTGAGAATCTGCAGAGTCTGGAAGTGTCAAGATGTCATGGACTCATAAATTTAGTGAGATACTCAACTGCTAAAAGCTTGGTGCATCTCACAAGAATGAGTATAACTGATTGTGATTTGGTAGGAGAAATAGTTGTGTGCTCGGACGATGATGTGAAGGATGGAATTGTCCTTAGCAAACTCAAGTATTTGCAACTTTGTAGTCTGCCCAGACTTTCAAGCTTTTGCTCTGTTAAATGCAAGTTTGAGTTCCCAGTTTTGGAAGAGGTGATTTTGATGGATTGTCCAAGTCTGCAGATTTTCTCTATGGATGAAATGAGAACACCAAAGCTGCAGAAAGTAAAATTGACTGGAGACGAAGATGAAGAGCTTTGGAATGGCAACCTAAACTCGACCATACAACTACAGTTCCTGCAAAAGGTATATGTGCATTAATTCAAAAGACCTCCTTAGGTTTTCTTGTTTTAAGTTTTTTAAAATAACAGGAAAAATTTGGAATTTTTTTTTTTTTTTGACCCTTTATTTGTTCTTGTTTTTTTAAGGGAATTTTTATTGCAATTTTTCCTTTCACCTTCATTATTGTGTTGTTGTTATGTCTGCAGAGTGGAGGTGATCCTGAAAATTGAGATAAGACAAATTGCGGCTCATGTCCTTTCCAAGTGAAGTTTGATAGTGAGTTGGTCCATCATCTCTAGACCTGCTTGATAAAGATATTTCTCTTGTAAACATTATGCATGGAGCTATATTGAGGCTGCTTTCTTAGTTCCTTGCAGGTTTGAATGATGTACGCATACGTGGGATGTGAATTTGCAAAGTTGTCACATTGCTTGAGGTTGATGCCCAGAATGTTACCTCACTAAAACTGATCCCTTTTTTCCCCTTTTTTTTTTTAAAAAAAAAAAAGGGGAAGAAGAAGAAGAAAAGAGAGAGAAACATCTCTTTGTATTTCCCGAACTCATTTACTACTTGTATTCTGATAATTAAATTCATGCAAACCCTGAAATTTATTTGTTGTTTTATTGTATTAAAGAGAGAACATATATCCTTCAAAAAAACAAATGCGGCTTTCTTATATATGTTTATATGATAAAGGTACATTTCTTGTATATATGGAACTATGTATATTGAGATGATGCTTTCCTAATTCCTTGTTTGGTCTGAATGGTGCACTTAGAAGTTGGATATGAACTTAGCAAAAAGTTGCCACATTGCTTGGAACCCAAAACTAAGCAGTTTGTTGTTTATGGTATTTTAAAGAGAGAATGAATATCTTCCATTCAGAAAACAAAATATTGCTTGTTGATTATCCATTGGGTTCTGCTGTGCTTTCATTTTAATTAGAAAATGGTTTGTTCTTTTTGATAGGTTTGCTATTTTCTTTTCTTCGATACACAAAGCAAACCGTTATTTTAAATATAAATTTTAACTTTCACACACACGAACTGATTTTGGTAACTCAGGTTTTTCTTTTTTCTGCAGTGATAGATCCATAGGAGATTTACATTTTTTCTTTTTTTCTGTATGCAATAATAAGCTACTGAAGATGAGATAATAGATGGATTGAGCCACTTCGGGTATTGGAGATGTTCATTTGCATACAGTGACCTACACCATTTCTTAATGAATCCGCATTGGAGATTTGCACTCAGTGCTGCAACAATGGACCCTAAAGGGTTCATGAAAAATGGACCCGGTGCTTCCCCATTTGCCTTTTTCAACTAAACTAAAATTTTATTGATAAACAAAAAGGTAGCAAGGCATGTAACGGTGGTTAGATGTAAACGGACAGGAATACTCCTTGTATTTCATTAATAAAAATATTTTCTTCGCTATTCATGAAAAATATACATAAGGTAAAAATGCTTGATTTTATAGATCAAGGACTTACAACTAATTAGATAAATATATAAAGCACAAAAGGAGATAAAATAAATAGTAAAACTTTAAAAGAAAAGGGCAATGCAAGTAAGTTTGCTTAAGCACAACATTAACTATTATTATTTGCCTACTCCTTTGATCAGGCATTACTTTACTCCTGAAAATTTACCAAAGAGAACAGTAGTGCATATGAGGGATCAACAGATTTGAGTTTAAAATTTAAACAATAGAAGAGAAAAAGGAAAGGGAGAAGAAATATATAGGCAAAAGGACGAATAGTTGAGGAAAAGATTGAAGAACAGAGAAACCAAAAGGGAATAGAAACCGTAAAAATGAAACAAAAAAGTGTTTCAATCTAGACTGTACATTAGAAGTGCATGCTTGAATCTAAAAGAAATACATGAAACCCAAAATGAAATGACTGGTTCTTAGAAGAGGAAAAGAGAACAAAGAAAATATCAGTCTTTAACTTTCGGATTAAAAAGGAGAACAGCCGGACTTTAGAGCACACTCCTTTGCCGTTTAAATTTTGGATGTAATTTGATATAATGCTTTTTTCAATTATCAGTCTCTTGCTATATAAAAATATCAAGTTAAATTATATAATGACCAGGGACTACAACTAAAAAGAAATATCAGGCGTATTTTAACTCCTTGCTATATTAAAATATCAAGTCAAATTATACACTGATCAGAGACTACAACTAAAAAGAAGACTGCAACTAGAAAGAAACATCAAGAGTATTTAACTCTTTTACTTCATTTGACAACGCTTCTTGGTGCTTTAACTTTTGGTTTTTATGTCTCTTTAATATTCTAAAGGTATATAAAATATTAATTAAAATAAATATTAAATATATTTTATATATTTTTAAGATGTTAAAAGATAAAAAACCCAATAGTTGCAGTTACAAGCTAACACTCTCAAACTAAGCCTCAGTTGCAGTTGCCCAATATCATTTCCTTCTTTACGCCCTCAATTGAGAATTTCACCTACACTTTGTGATCCTGTACCAAAACAAATGAATTAAAAGGGAGGAGCGACATTACATTCATGTGGAGAGATTATGCATGCACAATATTAATGCATATCAATTCACACCCCAACAAAATGAAATCATTTTTACCATTGGATAAGACTGAATCTAGATGTAATTGTGTGAATCATTTATGTATGTGTCTATCCCCAAAAGATTCCAGCATCCTCAAATTTCTTGCCAACTTAATATCAAGCCATCAAAGCAGAAAATAAAATTCAACCTCATTATATTAATTCTCCTTTTAGATACTTAACTGAAAAATTGTGAACACAGAAGTGGGAATAGTAACATCAAGCAAACTTACATCTCCAAAGATACCGAATATCAAACACAAATCACCGAGTAACAAATACCCTCTTAAGCATGTTGATACAACTACATGACAAACTGTCAAATTACTGAACGGACAAATGTTACTCCCTTATATAAGTTGGCTTACCTAAGCAAGAACAGTTTCGTATTTGTTTTCTTCTTCGCAACATGCTTCTAGTGTCGGTCATGCCTGATTAAAAACAAGAGTAAAGTTCAAGAATAATCCTTATCAGCACAGAAAACTTTAGAAGTTTCAGGCACAAAACACAAAGTAAGAAACATATGGAACGCAAATATCTATCACTTAGTTTTGAGGTCAAAATCAAGATTCAAATCCAGGCAATAACTAACAAATCATAATGCAAAATAGCCTAATAAAATAATTAGGTACTAAAGGAATGCCATCCCTTCATCAGCTCATCATAATCAAACAGTAAGAAGGGTATTTTAAAATTTAGATGAGATTAAAAAAGGGTTTTTTACCTTTTTATGTGAAGAAAAACAGCATTAAAATCTACAGTATAGGTGTTTGTTACACCACTTTGCCTTAAGCATGGTTGGTTCAGGGTCCATTCAAGATTTACAACCAATTTGTCTATACCATATGTATTCCGAAACTAATGGAAATATTATATGTACCATGAAGGGATACTCCCATCATCAAGCTCATCGTCAAGCTTATCTTAGACTTATACCAAGCAAGAATTACTTAAGGAAAGCATTTTTCAAGTGTGAAATAAACACATATAATTAGCTTATTTAGCTAACAACAACCTAAAAAAAACAAAAATAAAACATGGTGTAGATTCAAGTGATTAAATACACTATATTTTGCTTTAGAAACCAAAAATAGTGCTTCCTCTTGACCAAAAATAATGCTTTGCCTATCAAATAAGTTAATAAAGACCCAAATACTCAAATAGCATCGAATCTTAAAAGACTAACATAAGTAGTCGTGTCAACCACATAATCCTTTAATCTAACAGTAAACTGTCCTCCAAATGAAACAAGAAATTTTAAATTCAAGTTGTACATAAACATGTGAGTAGGGTGGATGATGGGATGACAAGTGCGAGTAGAGCAACTGGTTTTTGAAGTAAATGGACCAAACGAGGACATAATTAAATACATGGATTGATATAGGATAGGAGCTTTGAACCCTTTAATTTGCCCCTTATTTTCTGTGGTGGGTCTTATGCTGGGCTGAATTGGGCTAAACAGGACTTCTAAAGCATCCCATCTATATTTTACTAATGGAATGGTAGCATTTTTTTTCAAGGAAACCTGTTTTACAATTTGGACTATATCAAACTATAAAATAGAGTTCATTAGATGAGAGAAGGGACCCTGATATTAGGGAGCCTGACCCTCATCCAATGATTAGTGTTGCGTAATCTGATATAGTCTGAACTGCACAACACTTTTTCATCTTTTTAATTATTTTGTCAATTAATACGTTTTTTTTTTTTTTCCTTTTTTCACAGATAAATAGATTGCTCCATTAGTTAAAACAAGTGGTCCTTATTGGTGATTTAATTAAGCAGCATGTTTTAAGTATAAATAAGATGTTTATATGTGTTTGAGTTCTTAAAAAGACTTAAAAAAACTTCAAAAAACTAAAGCTGATTACCTTAATTTCAAAAAACAAACCTATTCTTAGACCTTTGAAACATTTTCTCTCTTCTTTAGGCACATTCCCCTTCATTTGCACATTATGTCAAAGAAAGACATGGCTAACAAAACTTTTTTGATCCACATGCAGCTAGACTTGGTTCTAAGTCCCCAATAGTCTGGATACTAAACTTGAATAAACAGCTTGTATTTTTTAGACTGAGCTTTGTCTCTAGTCTCATATAAATCCCTTTCCAAACTCATTCCTTCAAGCATAACCTTCTATTTTGGCCATAAAAAAAAAAGTACATCCTTCTATCTAATCATAGATGAA